CATTTAAAATATTGCTACCGGAAATCCTGTTTTGATATGGCGCTAATAATGTGATCGAATGATCAGTACGTACTCGAGTTTAGATTTTTGCGTAGAGTAAACATGGTGCAGTAAATGTGTTACGATTGATATTACGACTCATCAACGCAACAATTCTATCATCTTAATGCTCTGCACAAATATTATGTTGCAAACACCAGCCAGCCTGTGAGATTTGTATATCATAATATAAATAACAACGACCAGTTAACAGATATAAGTAACATCTTGTGTTACTTGTTGTTTATTTCAACTTTTTGGTCTTTTTTTTCCGATTTTTTTCTAATCGTCAACAATTGGAAAATAATAATTTTCATTTATTAATTATATAAAAAGTTACTTATTATATACTTATTATATACTTATTATATATTACTCGTCGAAGATTAAATAATGATATGCAATTAAATAATATCACACACGTACATATACATAAAATAAAGAAGATATACATAAAGGAAAGAGAAGCTCCTCAAGATTATAAAAATTGTGGAATTTAGAAACAAATTATTTGAATGATTATTTTTTACGGCAAAGATTTTATTAATATTTAAAAAGATATATTAATCCATTATATATCTTATTGATTATTATTATTATTATTATTATTGTAAAAAGATTATATTAGTATAATATTGTATTAATATTTCTTTATTTGGATATTGATATTTATAATAATTTAAGAAAATGATCAAAAAGATTCGGGATATTTCTGTATCTCATTTACGATCATAATGAAAATTTATACAATCGCTTACGAAGGGTAATCATGCGATAAAAGTATATTGCAACGGAGTGATGTTTAATAATTGCGTCAAGACGTCACTTTGCGAAGTTTAAATATTGACTCCTTGCTCTGACGAGACGAAATAAATCATTACGTAAGATAGACGGTTGTGATAAACGAAAAGATGAGATTAAAACAAGGTTGCGGAGGACTGTCGCGTAACGTATCGTCTCGGCGAAAATTTATCGTTATCATTATCTTAGATCGTGATCATTAAAAATGCATCGACGAATCGCTCGTGCCATCGAATACCCGGTGTCGTGATAATTTTATCGCGTCCGGAGATACGCGAGAAATGTGATCTGAGAACTCGAGATCGCAATCACATGTGTTTCTCGATAAGTTATATCATTTCTTTTGAAATAACAAGATAAAGGCAGAAAAATTCCCCGAAAAAAAACTTTAAATCTTTAAATTTATTTGCAGAGTTTACACGTGAAAAATATTGCGTATAAATACAAAAAAAAATATATATATATATATTTTAAATTAATATAAGTTAAATAATAATGTATAATATTAATGCTATTAGTCGACTTATCGTGGAAGATAATTAATTCTGAAATCTTCTGCAATGATTATCATGTACACGTTTTGACCAAGATTGCATGTCGCATTAAATTTGCATCGCGGTTGCCTTCTTCATGTCGACGACATTTTGGCCGCTCTTTCATAAGCCCTCACGAGTGCTTTTGAATATCCTCTGCGAGGTTGAAGAGGCAGGCAGTGGTTGAAGTGGTGGACGCGAGGTGTAGTAACGAGTCTTTTGAATCGCCGCCTCTCGCTTCCGGCTACAATAACGATGATAATTTCGTAGAATAACACGTTTGTGCAAATGAATAGACGGAGAATTAGCCCATTTTAATATAGTCTAGTTAAATTGTGTCTACAAGGCTAAATGTACTATTTAAAGTAATGTATTATACATCCTTATAACTAAGAAATTTATATAATTATAAATAAATATATAATTATATATATATATATATATAGTAAAATTATAACAGATTAGATACCAAAATCAAATGGGTACATTTAAGCAGGAACGAGTATAGATTAAGAAATTTGATAAAAGTTTTCAATTAAAAATGTAATGTTTGCTAATTAAATGTGATTACGATATTATCTTATTTATTTCTGTTAGATAAGTCAATATCAGACTCACATGTTGGCTTTTTAATAAGCTGCGATCAGAAAACGGTTTGGTGGCTGTTACGCGGGGTAATCATCGAACAGTGCAGTGATAAGGCGAAAGTCGCAAAGTTTCGTATTTGGAGGAGCATAAAAGCCACGATGCACTGGCGTATGCACAGCTGATTGAACGAAATGATATCTTACGGTCTGTCACACCTCTATTGCCGTCCATCCGGTCTGTAATCGACAATTTTGCCACCCACCACGCACTGTTCGGCAGTACCGTGTAGTCGCATTGGGACCTGAGACCGCGGGGACCATCCGGATATCCGGATGAATTCATATATAAGATCCGGAAATTGGATCAACTTTTTTCGGATTTGGTAAGATTGGAAGTTACAGAAATATAATCTTTCAACGGTGCCACTTTCTTGCGACGAAAATTACGTTCTAAAAATAAAAAAAGTTTCTGGAGACAAATACATCTCTACATTTAACAACTTACAATTTTTTTTATAAAAATTTTTTATGATTTAGCAAGATTTGATTTAACACTTGTACTCGCTGCTGTACGTTATTTTTTAATTGAAGAGGATTTATTTATTTTTCTTATTTTCTTCCTTGAGATAGTCTCGTTTCAAACAGCAAGTACAAAAAATCGAAAAATTACTCAATAGAATAATGAAAAATTTTTATGAAAGACTGCCAGGAGTCGTGAAGTATAACAATTTTTATGTAAAATATTAATTTTTCAGTACTTGACTCATAAATAATAATTATTTATTAAATTTTATCAGTTCTTTTTAACAAGTGTGAAAAAATTGTCAACTTCTATTGCCGGATTTTGCAGGTAAAGAATCATATAGTTTCAGACTCGAAGACGTGTGTATATTCGAATAAAAGTAAATTTAATACACATACACATAGAGAAAAATCAAGACATCTGTAAGTGTCATTAACAATTGAGACATTATGTATATTAGTGTCGTCGCGTAATCAGATTTGCATATACTTGTCCAAGATTGTTCACGCCGCCGGAGGTCCTCAAGTTACGCGTAAACATCGTCCATCGAGGTTTGAGCCTCCGTTCTAGCGATGTTATCGATTTCACGAATACGATTGCAGCAACCGTACTAATATGCGACTTCGCCATCGCGCTCGACTAGCCACGTTTAAATCACCGAAATATCACCCGCTGACATTTTCCCGCTCCAATTCGACATCGAGATATTTGTAAGCGACGAGATATTTGTAGCGCGAGACATTGCACGTTTCTCCTGAAAGAGACATTATCTCCTTATCCTCTCAGTGAAAACGTGGTGTCTTCAAGCTTTCATTTCCATTTTATTTAATAATGCTCGCTCCCTTGTAGTCCTCGTAGTTCTAATACTTAAATCTTAAAAGTTCTTATTATGCAGGCGCTCTAAAACAATGTGATTTCTTGAGCGAGAGGTATTGAATCTAGAAATTAATTTCTCTCGTTTCCCAACCCTCATGGCGTGACCGGTAACGATGTCGAATCATCGTGAAACTAATAAAATCGACTGGTAAATCGAGCCGTTCCTATGTACGCACCGCTCATTAGGCAGACTCGATATTAAATGACAATTACTCGGGGACCTTTAACCGCATCGGCGGCCGTATATTAAATACCGATTTCATTATATATTATCGATTAGCGTAATATACATCCTAAATATTATAATTATCGCTCGTATTCGGGATAATATCACGGCGCGGCCGAGCGCGAGGGACAGGGGAGAGCCGGGGGTGGAAATTTTCAGGATCCGAAAATTTGCGAGGGTGAGCGCGCGCACGCACGCACGCACGCACGCACGCACGCACGCATCCGCGGACACGCGTGCATGTGCGTGAATTTCCCCGCTCGTGATGGCGCACACAGTGCGCCGTTGTGTGGGTGTAGGTGCGTGCTATCGACCGGGTATCCTCTGTGCCGCTGGACGGACGGTGGCGGCGTGCCCCACCCTGAAGAGAGTAGGGGGAGCTCTCGGGCGCGAGCGTGCGAGCGAGAGGGGCGCGTGTCAGTCGCGCGGGAGACGAGGATAACGGGCCGAAGGGGAGAGAGAGCGAGGGAGAAAGAGAGAGAGACCGCGGCACGCAGAATGCCGCCTCCTTGCTTAGTGATAGCGTAGAGACTGTAGTGTTCACATCTCACAC